AGGAATGGGGAGGGAATGGTGATGATGGACAGGTTGGAAGGCTGGGAAGTCTGATGGATTAGATGAGAATGTTGTTCCAAGGAAGCTCAGAATTACCTTTGTGCAGCTGTGGGGCAGAGTTGGGTGTCTCCTTGCTGTTAGTCTTTTTGTCTGTTCTGTTATCAGGTTAATCTCTGTGAGATTAACATCGACTCTCTCAAGTCATTATGACAAGTGATTGTGGCAGTAAATTCTTCCATGTCAAGAAAAAGACAAATTGTACTGTACTGCATATTGTGGCATAGTACTACTAATTGCTGAACTTGATAAATGTCTTCTGATCGGTTCTGTATTAATGAGCAAAGATGTTAATTGTCCTTATCTGAAATATCTGTATTTGTAGGGACGTTCTCTGGAGCCATGGATGTCTTCTAACAGAGATTTATTTCAAAGCAGTCATTGTTTTCAGCAGTTTCAGAGTTCATTACACTTCAGTATCAACTGAATAATCTCCAACCCCATCAAAGTTTTGAAAGCAATCAGCTCTTCCTGTGTGTTACTTAGCAGGTTTGAATCTTATTTGGGTATGGAAAACTTATATGTGGTACAGCATGCTCAGCATCCTGGGCTGCAGCAGGAGCATGGCTCATTCTTAAGAGCAGCCAAGAGACAAATAAGCACCTGACAGCAGGAGAGAGAGGGTCTGGAATAGCCCCATTTCCCCCCACCATCTGGAGTATTTAATTGGGAAAATCATTCTCCCTTGTTGTTGTGTTGGTGGGAGTTGTCAGTCTAAATATGTTTTAATGCAAATAACCATCTCTATTTGGAGAATTCATCTTTTCTAGATGCTTTCTTTGGAAAATATGCATCTGAAGATTCAGTGCATTATTATATGAGTAAGTGCATACAAGACTCATATTAACAATGGATGTCATGTTTATTCTTTCCCTTTAGAATTTCCCACAAGTGGGCAGATTTTTGCATTATTGAGTAGTTTGCTACTGCTGACTTTTCCCAGAAACACAAGAGAAAACCAGGCTTACGCAGGAGCCTGCATGTTCTTCCAGTTTTGGGAGCAATGGATTCCCTTAAGATTTGATTTGTAATAGGTTTTGGTGCGTGCCTATTCTGGTGCAAAGTTTCAGAGCTGTATGATTAATAAATCTCTGTGGAACTGAAAAAGGACCAAGTTCTCACTGAGGTTAAAACGTACCTGATTTCCCAGTGGAAAAGTTGCATGTTTCCTTAGGGGGCTAAAGGCTAATGGGAAGAAAAAAATGTTTCCTTGTAGGGTTTTTGTTTGTTGTAATAAATTGCATTTTCGTTTATGAATCTCTTACAGTTTTTTAGAACATGTTCAACAGCAAACAGCCAGAAGTTCAAACTGTAACTGTAAATCTGTAAGCTGACAAATGTAGATTCTCTGGCCAAACTTTCTTAAGTCAGGCTTAATTTCGTAGAGTGAGGTAGAAAAGCCCATTATCTTGCTTCATTTCATAGATTTCAGACTTTGCCAAGAAATATAAATCTCCCTTCAAAAATGACAACTATAAAAATAAGAGTTACTATTTTCTTAAATAAAGCCATTTTTAACTGAACTTGACATATTGCTGCTCAAGCTGCTGTGGCTTTAGACTGTCTGATACCAATAATTAAACTGAAATATTGAGGTCCTCAGCTCCCCCTTGAGAATGATGCTGCCCCTAAGTTACGTTAACATGCTGTTTTCTATTTCATGTTAGAAACGGGGCTGAAGGAGCTCAGAAGTCATCTGGCAAAAGCTGGATGGGTTCCCTGATCTGCCTGACGCCACAGCCAGACAAATACTTGTATGGCCAGAGACAAAGTGGGTGGATGGAGGTGGGAATGCTGCTTAAGACTGGTATTGATGCCAGATGCTCAGTGGTGACCCACTGAAGATCTGTCTCATTTTAGGTATTTTCAAGCCTCTGAATCCACATTTCTGGCCTTGAGTGTTGTTCTAATTTAACTTTCCCATGGAGAGACCTGGGGGTGAGGATGATGCAGCTTCTGGGGGGTGGGTGCAAGCAAGACCAGCTGCAACATGAGAATGTGCAGCACTTGCACTGCTTATTTATCAACCACAATGATTCACTGTGATTGACGTTGACATACCTGAATGTCAAAATAACCTGTGTTTTAAGAGAAACCAGTGACTCAGGCTGTGGTTTTACCTCAGGCCATTTCCTGATAAATGGCTGAACTGTGCTTGGTCTTGGGAAAACACTGCAGAGGAACACGGCTCTGTCCTTGTATCTGTGTGTGTGGAGAGATTAGGGAAAGGACACCTTTGTGTGGGGCTGACCTTCCCCACAATGCCACGGCTCTGTGAGCTCTGGGGAGACTGAGGTCTGATGGCAACTCTGTTTTGGTGCTTCTTCAGGGCATTTCTGCCCAGCCCTGATGTGGGAGCATGATCCTCAGTGTTGGACAGCACAATTTTAAGGAATACTACACAGTAATAAATCACTGTGCTTTAGTCTCTCCCAGTTGTAAAACAGAGGTGAAGCTGCCTATAACTATTTTCAGAACTGAAAATATTTCACTTCTTAGAACACAATCTTTTTAGTGAAAGCAGAAGCAATGCATATGCTGATGTTTATAGGGATTGAAGTATATTTAGGCTACTCGTTTTTTGAGTAAGATGGCAAACAACTGTATATATGGCTAGATAGAAGGTCTGGACATGGGATCATATGAAGGCTACATAAAGTACCTCATTGGCTTTCATTTAGTGTGATTGACCATCTACATAATTCCATAGTCTTCCCATCCTTGGCAAACTGCAGAACTCTTCTCCTCCATTCTCCTTAAGGAAAAGGACTGTCCTGTGAGAAGAGGTGTAGGCCTGGGATTAAGTCACTTGTGTATGGTTACAGAGCTGTGGTTGAACTGGCTCAGGTGTCTTTAGTGCTGTTTAAATGGATGATTTAAGGTATAGGAGAAGCTTCTCTTGGGAACAGATTCTGTGAGAATTCCTCAAATCCTCTTTGAAGTTAATGGAGGGTATTAAGGGCAGTCAGCACCTTCTTAAAAGAGAAATTTAAATTGCTTTGATTCATTTCATTTTATATTTGCATTAACTAGTTCTGGATTTCTCCCTTCTCCAGTCTTTCAGAGCATGTTTTTGATAACTTTGCCCCCTGAGCATACTAAATTTTATGTTGGCTGTTTTGATATTTTTCCCTGAGTGTTGTAATGCTGATTACCAAAGGATCTTGGGCCTTTGGCTTCCTGTGAGAACGAGATAATTACTCTCCAGTAGGCAACGCATGACGTACAGTATCAGCATTAAGCCACTGGGATTCCAGTCACTAGTGTAGAACAATATTGTGGGTAAATGAATAAGCAGAAGTTTATCATACTTCCTGCATAACAAGGTTTTCGTTAAAGAGACAGTGAAAATTATTTTCACCCAGGGGCTGGTGCACAGTGAGCGCTGCTGCAACAACCGAAAGGGGAAAGATATTGAGGTTGAGTTCTGTGGGTTTTTCTTGCCGCAAAGAAAAGCTGAATTCTTGTAGCAGCAAAGGTGGGTGACAGGGCTGTCACTGCGTTTTTGGTGGATGACGTTTATGGGCTTAGAAACATGTATGAAGTGTAGAACTCCAAAGCACGGTTTCCAGATGCACACCACCTACTTAACTTATGGAAGAGAGTTGTACCAATTAGAAGTAGAGACGTTCCAAATGCAATTTGCTTATTTCACACTCGCCCCCAGGAATCCTGTGTTGTGATTTTAGGAGTTGGCCCTGTTTGACCCTGAAATTTATGTGGTTTCTCCCTTGCCATCCTTATTTTAGGACTGTCAGTTAAAAATAACTTATGTATTGGGCACAGTGGGAGTGAGTTTGAGAAGTTGAAGTTATATGTAAATCAGTAATAGTGAGAAAATAATTCATAAATGTAATGAGCTCTGTTCTCTTGAAAGACATGGTCAAGTCTGTGGTTTATCCATGAGGTGAGATTAATTATTTTTGTATGAAAATAGTTTCTCTGCCACAGCAATACTGATCAGCTCACTTATGCTGTAGCACAGCAAAGTAAATGATGTCTTTGGAGGACCTCTATTAAATATTCAATTACTTTAAAAATCACTTGCATAAAGTGCAGTGTATGTACACGTACTCAATAGATACACAGCTACAGCACTGTGTATTTACTTAGTTTAGGACATAATTTGATGTGCTTGCATAGATACATTATATTTCAGCTTATCTCAGAGTTAATTGTACTTCTGTAATGCCTAAGAATTACAGGGATACTAGCAAGGAGTTTCATGTTTAAGTTTGTTTTCCTGCAACTGTCAGTTTGCGTTGTACATTTAATTGCAAAATGCAGTTACTTATTTGTGTTTTAATTATGACTTGCATTTTAAACTGGACATCAGCACTCTCTGAAGGAAACCATTGTGTATCTATAGGCCAAGATGAGTACGTTGGTTGTTTTGCTTTTGCTTGAGTCTGAAGCTTAAGGGCTGTATCTTTGCAGCCCTAAGAACCACTGTCAAATGAAGGAGTCTGGATCTTGATGAGGTGATTGATCAAAATTGCAGCTGGGAAAAAGAACAAGGATGTGTGGAATAAAGCAACCTTGCTGTAGGACAGTGCTGACCTGTCTGTGTGATTGAGATGCTTCTTCAGGCATTGAGAGCATGTGCATGGACAGACCCCTTCATAGCTCAATTCAGCCTGGAATTAGGTTACATTGATTTTTGGGTCCAGGACAGTTTGACATTTGTGTATTTCAGGCAGCTTGGACTGGCCTGGTTTTGTTTTTTTGTGAGTAATCTCAAGACTTGAATGAGTTGGAGGAAGGTTGCTGGATGGGTCTCTCTCTTGAATGACCTGGGTAGGAATTTTGCTTTTCAATTAGATTTTGCAGATACTTCCAACACCAAGAGTCATTTTCGTAGTGCTATTCTTACTTTAAAATTGTGAAACTTATGATGGCTAAGTAAACATTTTTTTTTCCCCTTCTCCTTTGTTTTCTTGCAGCCAACTGGGTACATGGAAAACTCCATTTCCTACAGTGCTATTGAAGATGTTCAACTGCTCTCCTGGGAGAATGCCCCTAAGTACTGTTTACAGCTCACAATCCCGGGGGGTACTGTCCTACTGCAGGTACAGTAAACATAAAAGTACAACTTTTTCTCTTGCTGTGAATCTCCTTCAACTTCTTTCTGTTTCCTGTGCATGAAATCTAAATTACATGGACTCAGAAAAGGCAGAGAGCTTGGTGCTGTCAAATTATCTAACCACCAGAAAATTTGCTCAGAGTGATAGCTCTGAAACTCTTTGTGGTGTTTAACAGTCAGAATGGAAATTTTGGGCCACAGTGATTAAATCTTCTTGCTGAATTTGTGCAGAAAAGTAGTGCTCTGTGTAAAGGCACATTGATTTGGGCCTGGAATGATTGTATTTTTACATATAGTCTCATTCTTGCCTGAAAAAAGTTAGAAGTTTCATCCTTGAATTCATATAGGAAACCCAGAACTTGCACTGGAACTGACAGATACCTATTTTTAAAAGATACTCAATCTTCCCTGAATTACTTCAGTATATTTGTATTGATGTCTATATATGCTGGTTCTCTGAAGTGGTGTTTTCAAGCAGAAGACACTGTGTTTACATTAGTCCAGATTTCTTCATCCACTTGTGAGGCTTTATAGGCTCCCTTAGGTCACTGCAAGTTTTAATGACAGAAAAGCACTCCACAGCACTGAGCTTTGGAAATACTCTGGAATAAGTAGGAAAAGCTACATGGCCCCCAAAGAACTTTGAAAGGTCATAACTTAAAAATACCAAACTGGCTTCGACTTAACTCTTGTGTGGTTCTCTCTCATGTTTCTCAGCATTGTTTTGGAGATAGTTTATCTGCTACCCTTGGGGATTTTACTTTTTCAGTTGATTATATAGCCATGACTATAGTGTATATATATTTCATTCAGGTAGGTCTGTAAGGGCAAGGTAGGAAGACAGGCCATGATTTCCTAATTTGCCAACAGCTAGATTATGGTCCTCATTATTGTTGAAATCTTCCTTCCCTAATGCATGAGTGGAATTAATTAGACAGCAAGTTGTCTAAATTTTTAAAGTTGGATGGTTTTCTTGTGATAATTTGGATTCTACTTTTTCCATAAATTTCATTAGTGGTGCCAGCATTTATGTTTGTATCCATTTCAACAGATGGAATATTTACACCTGCCTTTCCAAATTCTGTTTCTAAGTCTTTATTCTGTAGTTTATGGCAGCTGCCTTTTTGGGTTTGCTTAATGGGATACAAGATAAAGCTTGAACCCACAGCTTCCTGCTGAGTGGAAAGGAAATTGGTAGGGTAGTCAGGCTGTAATCTGGAGCAGCCTGACATTTGTCTCTTTAAAAAAAAAAAAAAAAAAAAAAAAAAAAAAAAAGAGAAAAAAACCAACAAACCAAACGCATAAATAATTATGTTTGTGAAACAGCAACATCTTAGCATGGATACTTTGGTATTTTCTTCAAAAAGATTGGTGTCCTTATGTAACCTCATTGGAACTCTTAAAGAAGTGGACTGAGCTGGACTTCTGTTTATTGCTGCCTGGCTGAGCACTCTGGATCAGATTACATTATAACTATGGGAATTTCAAGATAATTCAAAATACAAACTTTAAAAAATGTTTTTAATATGACTGGTCCTTGGTGGTATCTTGATTCATCAGATGTGGTGAGGTTGGAGGGACTATAAAATTAGATTTCCCTTATACAGTTGTAATGTGTATTCACAAATCCAAAACAGTTCTCAAAGTTATGTTTAGTCTGCTGAAGAAATCAAGTTGAAAAAGCTGAATTTATGAGTAGTTGAGTTCAGCAGAAATTCTCCAGTATATGTAACAAAGAGTAGAGGTATCCAAAAGACACTATAACTGAGGAGCTGAGAAAGTAGCCCTTGCATAGTTCAGATATTTCCAGATTTGTAAGAGACTTCAATACATCTCTGGGAAATTGTGACTTCCGTTTTTTTATGAAATCATTCTGCCCTGCTATTCTGAGCAGCAGCATGCTCTGATGTAATGTCCAGCTCTAGTATCAGGAAATGTTTGATAGTGGAACAAGTCAAGCTAGTCCAAAACATGCTTCCAGTACTGCTCCTTCTGAACTGCACTTTTGGTGAAATCTGTATTTTTTATTTTTTTTTTTAAAGCGCTTAAATAATGCGTGTATATATATAATATATATATATAGACACATATATGTGTGTGTAAAAATGTCTAAATGTTTTGACTACCCTGAATTTATTTAATATTTCTGATTAATATAGGTTTTATATTTTGATCTATGTTTTTGCACATGCTTAATTGTAAATTCTTTACTACCATGGGGTATTATTGACATGATTTACCATAAAATGAAGCAGCTTAGTACTTTGAATAAGGGGCTTTCCCAACTTTTCATTTTTGAGAAAAAATTGGGATTCTAATTTCTGCTTCACTGAAGGCAGTGTGGATTTATGAAAGGCTGGTCCTGCTTGACCAACCTGACCTCCTCCTGTGACAAGGTGACCTGCTTAGTGTGTGAGGGAAAGGCTGTGGAGATGCAGATTGGCTATTAGGAAAAAATTCTTCACCAAAAGTGTTCTCAGGGCATAGACTGCCCAGTGACTGAGTCACTGTCTCTGGAGGAATTTAAAAGATGTAGATGTGGCTCCTGGGGATATGGCTTAGGGATGAGCTTGGCAGTGCTGGGTTAGACGATGGATTTATCTTAGAGTATTATCTAACCTAAACAATTCTGTGTGAGATGCCGCAGGAGAGCCCCTGTCCATGTTCAAGTTTTCATCCCCTCTGTCTGCTGTCACCAGGGTCTATTTCTGGCTTATTAGTGCACAGTAATGAGTCAGAGAGGGAAGAGTGCCATTACCTTTCCTTACATCATCCCCAAGCCCTCCCATGGCAACACTGACCCATCCCAACCTATTTTAACACATGAAATCTGACAGGCAGTGCCGGAGGTGATGCAGCTCCTCGTAGGAAATCCGACCACGCTAACAGGACGTGTCTACCTGGGTTTCAGAGGAAGACCTGGTTCTCAGGCAGCAGACAGCTTAATCCAGGCTGGGTTCACATTTAAAAGTCATTTTCGTGTGTGGAGTTCTTCCCACTCAGTGTTTATTGAATAAGCACAGCTATCTGAGCGTTTCACTGTCTGGCATTTGGGGATTCCCATTGTCTCATGTGGGAGTCATGGACAGTCAGTTTTTTGGGGATCATGGACTGTCAGTTTTCTAGATGTGCTGAGAGCTTGTGTTTCTTTCCCCCTGCCAAATGATGTGATCCCTGATCCTTTCCATGAGCAGCAATCAAAATCTCAGATTTTTTTCCTTCCTTCCAGTTGGGATAGCAGGTGTGAAAGAAGGTGTTGCTGAAGCTGGTTCATGGGCCACAAGCTCTTCAGGCGAGGAAATAGGAGCTAAATTTAGGTTTTGGTTAAGTGTGAGCTCTTCAGTATCAGGAATAGCAGGGCCTCCTTGAGCTGGGCTAGGCTTCTGTTCTTCTGCTTTCCCTTTGTAAAGCACAAGGTGTGATTATGGTGTTGTGTGGATGATTATGAAGAGGATGCTACCCTTCATAGTGAAATAAGTGGAAGAACCTTTTGAAAGAGATTGAAAAAAACCTTACAGTATAATTTCATGAGCTGCTGAGCAACAAATGTAGGAAGAGTCCCAGGAAAAAGGCTTTGGTATTTAATTCATGGCAGTACTGCCTTGCTTTCCTGTGGTGTCCTTTCTTTTAGCCTTAAAGCCACCACTTCCATCCCCGTCGCTCGTGTTGTTTTATTCATTTCTTGGCAATTGAGCGTAGTCAGAAGGAAAAACAAACAGAGCCTTGACAAGCACAACAGTCACACGTTCAGCTCGGTGCTTGACCACGCTGTTTGTGCCAGGGAGTCCCCACACTCAATGTTTCCACTGGGTTTTCAGTAATACTTTATTTTAGTCTCCTAGGAGAACCTGCCTTTTATTTCAAGTGCCAGTCCAGCCAGTGCTGCTGGTGTGGAGAGGTCATACAAGGACCACAACCCAGCAGAGACAGGGAATATTTTAAGGAGGAAAAGGGCATTTCTAGCAACTCCCAGCAATTCTGTCTGTACCCAGAGGAGCCAGAGGAGTGGTAGATTTCCCTTGCAGGTCTGCCCAAGTCGGAGGTGCAGTGCTGGGATTTGCATCAGCAATGTAAAGGTTTTGTAGAGCTGTGTGTCTACCGTGGGGCTTGGCTTCCTGCAGCCCTGGGACACTCCACTGCTCATATGGCTGATAATAAATGGGGGCAGAGAAGCCTGTGCTGTTTTATGAGTCCCAGTAATGAGTATCAGCTGGAAAAAAAGCAAAGCAAAATCCCCATCCTGCTGATCAGAGAGCAAGGGAGAGAGAACCACTGAATAAACTCATGGAGAATCAAAGCCAAGGTCTGGGTCATCGAATGCCACTTATTGCCACATCTTTTCAGATGGCAAGATCCCCTAGAAGCCTGTGTGTGAAGGATGCTGTTGCAAGGAAAACTTGGGAACAGTTTGCTACATGGACAAGCCTGTTAATGTATTCTTCTGAATAACACACATACCAGTAGCAAGGGATGTTGTGGTTGTAGTTTACTGTTAAAGCAATGGCAGAGGTCTTCACCATAATTTTTGAAGTTCTCTGTTTCTTGCAGAGTTTCAGGTGTTCTGTTTCTCAGTAATAGGCAGGTTCCTATTTAGTCTCCTCCTTGCCTGAGTACAAATGATTGCAAAGGCTGTAACACTGGCATGAAGAAAGTGTTCAGTTTCCTATTTTTGTCAGCAAAAAGCACAACCTGCCTTTAAAATGTTAACTGTTTTTTAACAATAAACTTGCATTCCTACTCATTGACTAAGAAATGAAGTAGTTGAGGTGAAGAGCAAATACTTCCTTTTTCAACAGAAGTATAAATTTACTCATGTTGACTAAAGCTTTGCATATGTAGGTATTTAATCTCCTGCACAATTTTTCTCCTATGAGCTGTCTTTTTAAAGCAGGAGAGTTTAATCCCATCAGTAAAGTTTGTAGTACAGCTGATCCCAGGTGGCTTTTCCTCTCTGTCTGAACCTTTACACCCCAAAAATGAGAATATAAAATCCTTCAGAACACAGTTCCAGGATCAGTTAATCTTAAAAAAATACTGTCAACAGTAGATGTTCTTAGAGCAGATACTCTGCTTCCTCATTGGAATAATAAATAAGCTACAAGTAGTTTAACCTTCTTGCACCTTTTAAGAGTTTTACTCCCACATTTTCCTGTTTTCTGAAGTATTTTTCTACTATGTTGTGGTTGTACAAAAACAATGTGAGCTATTGACTGTGCAGGAAGTTCAGTTGGACCGTGTGTCACCCACTACCCTGTTAAAGCCACTGCATTTGAGAACAAAATGATTTGCAGAATTGGGGCCTAAACGTGCTAAACACACAAGGGGCCTAAACTATTATTTTACATACCTCTATATGTAAAATTGTATTGAAGGACAAAGAAGAATTTTAAGATCTTCGTTGTACTTCAATCCTGTCTCATTTATTATTTGTGGCAGGCAAAACATTTCCAGCTGAATTTTCTTTAAAGTTGGAAAGGTAGCTGTCAAAAGAGTGGGGTAGAACTGGACTCACTGCGAGGGCAAGGCTGAAAATAAGAAAAACTTTTCCCTGTGTGGTCAGAATGCCTAAGGAAAGCCTGGTTTAAAGTATTTTCTGTCTCATTTTCTCCTTTTTATTGTACCCTAGAGCTGAACAAATATAGTAAACTATGCCCTTAGCTAAGTAAAAAACTGTAGGTGTTAGTTCCCAGAAAGTGATGACTTCAGTGCAGAAAGCCTGGGTTCTGTCAGTGCACATCAGATAAAACTGTAAATGTCTATGTGCAGCCCCATAAATGAATTGTGGTTCCCTCCACTGCTTTACACTCATTGCTTAAACCTGAGAAATGTTGCTCACAATAACCTGAATGCTCGAGTAAGTCAGTGCCTGCAGAGTTGGCTGGGCAGCTGAGCACCCACAAGAGCTTGGTGGCTCTTTTTTCATCCTGGCATGTTATGAACTTGCTGTTCCTTTGGTAAGAAAGAAATGCTCCCTGTAGTGCCTTCTCAGTGCAAGCCTGAAAATGAGGAGGGAGGACCAAGGGATGCCGTGCAAGAGTGAGATCTTTGTTTTCCTTTGCAAAAGATCCAGCGTTTCCTGCAGGGTGCTGTGGTTTTGCTGGGGTCAGGTGGCCGGAAGGGTGCACTGGGAGGATTAGTCCCTGCAGCCTGGCAGAATGGGAATTCTGGTGTCAGACAGCTCCCTCAGGAAAAGTCAGGGTGGTTGGGGTGTAAAGTGTTCAGTCTGTGCTGAACAAGGTGTAAAGAGCATGGCTGAAGTGGCCACTGGCCTTCCATACCATTGAGTCCTGATCACTAGCAGAAGTGTGAGATTCTCTAAAGGTTTGTTTTTCTATTTTCTGTTCACTTTGTCGTGTTTGTTTTGATTTTCCTGGGAAGTGGTCATGAATAACAGGCAAGCTCTGAATGTTTTGAGTGGTTCAGACTCCTAAACCAGTTTGCTTGATCATTTCCCTACAATAACTAACTCTATGTGTAGACAGTGCTTGGTTGCACACTTGGAACCCAGTCACTTTGCTAATTTTAAATTTAAAGTGCTTTCTGTGTATTGCTACCACAGAGTTGTACAAATCTTTCCTTTGCCAGTTTTGATTTTGTGTCTTGCAGCATTCTTCATTTCTTTTCTCCCATTTTTTTTCTGCCATGATGCTGTCCTCACTAATAGTTAGGGCTCCAGTCACTTCCACAGTCTATCTAAACATAATATTCTCTAATTATTTGCAGTGGTCTTACAATCTGTGCTACTGACATCATTAAAGTAGGAGAATAATTAAACAGATCTCAATTTAGGGCTTCAGCATTTGCTCTTACTTTCAGACCAAGGACTCAATCAGGTTGGCATTTTGTCTGTTTGAGTGAAGTACTTCCTTCTCCTAGAATAGTTTTGATTTTTATTTAAATAACAATATAATATAGCTCCTATAAACTCAGTCTTCCTAAATTTTGTAAGAATGTAGTGGATGTGTACATTGCAGTATTATTGGTACAATTGCTTAGTATACATGAAGCCTACAAAAACCTTCAGCTTTACTTAGTCTTTAAGGGGCTTTGATGCTAGAATTTGGAAAGGAGGTTTTTTGTTCTCCTGCATGAGTTGTCTCCTTAAAAAAGAAAAAGAAAAAAGGTTCAATTTGAAATTAAATTTTTCAAGGAAGTCTGTTGAGGTTTTAGAGCATTCTCTCCATGCAAAGATAAGAAATATCTAAGTATATTTCATGTCTTTTTAATGATGTTAAAAATATTCTTCTGCCTTTTGGTGGCAAATTGTTTTTTGACCTTTTCATTGAATTAAAATACAGTATGAAGTATATTGAATTGAAATTTAATTCTATAACATACAGGTAAAAAGTCTGTCTTGTGTTATAATGCCCATATATACATAAAATACTGTGTAAATAACAGAAAATCATTAAATATTGGCTGACCAAAATATCCTGAAGATCTGCGCTCCAAATGTTTTTACAATTTTTCATTGCACGCAAAAAGAAGAAAATAGAAAAGGAAGTTTTTTGTTCACATTTATAACAATTTCATATTCTGATGTGTCGGCATTCTTCTTGAAATGGAAGGTTTTTGATAAATTCTGTGGTCAGCCAAGATTATTTATAATATATTTATTCCTGCTTTATTGCCTTGGCATCTACTCGAGGAGCAATTGATTCTCATTAAGATATAAATAATATGTAATTCATATTACATAAAAGGATACATACATGCATATAAAAGGATATTGCTCCATTTAATTCAGAGTAATCAGTCCCAATTTATGTCACTGAACCATCAGTAGCTGACTTTGAGATTAAACACGTTTTTGGTAGCCTTATAACATATTTACTTCTGGTATTTCTGCCATTATCAGCGAACTGAATGAGTGTTGGGAGATTAAATACATTCTGTAGTGTGGATTTTGAATACTTACCTGAAAAGATATAGTTTCACTCCCCAACATAAGTGATGGTCTAATTTGCAAGGAGCACATGCTTTTTGACAAAGAAGCTCACATTTTAAATATTTTCAACATGGATTTATAGGCTAACCTGTAATTTTCAGTGTTTTTGTAAATAATTTTGAAACATGAGTAAAATTTGGCAGCGTTAAGGTGGAGCTGGAAAAGCCAAAGGGCATCTCTACCCACTCAAATATTTCAGACTTATGTCACCTTGTTAAGGCATGCATATTTACGTCACTGTACATGCTTTTATATTTTTTGATACCAAGCCTTTTGACCTTTGGGAGTGTTGAACTGTTCCTTCATTGGCTGCGACCTGGCTTCACACTGGGAATTTCTGGCAGCTGTGCTTCATACAGACAAAAATGGGTGATGGCTGGGAGTGATTATTGCAACATTTATGCTGTTGCTGCAAACAGTCTGTGCATGTATCTGCACGTCTGTGTGTGCTGTGCTTTTCACTGTTTTAATATCACTGAAGGAGCTGAGACATTATTTGAATTGCTTTGGGGCCAGCTGAGGAGCAGGACAAGAAAAGAAACCAGAGTGTGGAAAAACCCCACTCCTCCTAGTAAAATGTCAGCCCATCTTCTTACTCTGCTTTTAGTGATTAATGGCAGAGGTGAATGCCCCAGAGGCATTAAAGATCTGACCCACACCTGATTGAATTCATGGAGGATTTTTCAGAGTCTTTGGGCTGGACAGCATTTCATAGAAGGTTAATATTTTGTAAGGTTTTGGTTCAGTATTTTATAATGCACCAAGGTCTTTGTGTCACTGCTTTCTGTGAAAATAAACTGGTATAATATAAAGTACCTGAATGACCTGAAGCACTGGTAGAAACTAATGATTTTGTCTATAACTTTTCCTTATTGCAGGCTGCAAACAGCTATCTGAGGGATCAGTGGTTCCATTCTTTGCAGTGGAAGGTAAGTTCTGTACTTCATCTTCCTCATTCTCTGCCTCTAACAGTACTTTTTAGAATTCCCTGTTTGTTCATTGTCAAAGCCCTGAAAATATCAAGTCTCTTCTTGCAGAAACCCTAAATCAGAACGTGTCTGCAGTTTTAATGTGTCTTTGTCACAAACGAAGTGGACAAATCAACTTGTTGTGCAGCCCAGCTTTATCAACATGTGACTGGCCTTAAAAAGTACATAGGCAGTTAATTCACATTTAAACAGAAGAGAGATTGGATGGTTTTAGTTTTGTACTGTGAAGTATAATATGGTGTAGTGAGTACACCTCATCATGTCCTCTGGACTCTTGGGATATTTTGAGGTTTTGTGTTTGGTTGGTTTTTTTATTTTTCTGAGAAGCTAGGGAGAAAGTGTCTTTTGGAGTTGATTACTGTATGTGTAACATCAATCAGTTATGCATCAGTCTATGTTTATACTTCAGCATGATTTGGAATTAAAGACAGTTTCCATTTCAGAGACCTCAAGCCCTTTCTCATTTTCAGTGGGAACAATGGACTGATTGCCCTGAGTAGGGAAAGTGGATCACAGTGACAACATTGTCTTTCAAAAGCAGCACATTCCTCGTCTAAAACCGTAGCTGCTGACCTTTGGGTGGAATCTGTATGGATCTTTGATGCAGCTGGAAACAAGTTTTGGCCAGATGCTGAATATGGTTGTCCTCCCTTGCCTTGCAGTGGGAAACACAAGCAGTAGCTTTTCAGCTCAGGACTTGTCTTCAGCAGGGTTTCAGTGAAGTCAGCCAAGTTGGCTGTGCAGCTTATCAAGATTTCAGCCTGCTGACAGCAACCACATGGAAAAATATACGGAAGTCCCTCCCACCAAACTGGTTTTGTTGTAGGTGTATTTGATAGTTGCAAGATAGTTGTGTTGGTGTGCTTTGTGTAGCCATCAGTGTCTGGCAGAATCGTGTTCTGAGCCGTTCCAGGTTCTTATCAGCAAAAGCCAAGTGTTGAGATCTCCTTTCCCAGACCACTGGCATATTCTCCAGCCTGTTACCCTGATTGCCCAAAGGAGAGTGGGACAGTAGTGCTGATAGCAGAAGGCTGGGTTGTGCTGTAGCACTTTACTTTGGCCTCTTGACAGTATCATTAACACAATACCCAGCCAGCCTTGATTTCTTTGCAGCTCCTGAGGATAACAAAGCACTTAAAGCATGCAGAGGCAGTATCTCCATGTGGCCATTATTTTCTCTCCTGCTTTGGCAGGCAGGGGATGATCAGGGAAAGCATGGATAGAAGTGATGATAGAATTTGTTCTTCTGCCTCAGCCCCAGCCAGGATGGTTGTGGTACCAATGTGCTGGTGGCTCATGCCCACTTTGTTCCTGCAGTGAGGGGAGAATTGGGGTTGGAGGTGCAACTCTGGAAAACATCAAGTAAGATGTGGTAAAGATGCAACATGTCCCTACCATTCAACTCATCAAATAAATTATTTTTAAGGAAAAGAAGGGAAAAGAAAGAAAGCAAGCCAGGCTATACAGAGTGACCTGGCTTGCTTACATGCCTTTCAGTCATGGAGAAGGAGCTTTGCTCTGTGGGAGTTGTTTTTAAAGGAGTATTTCTTAAACTTTCCAGTGCTTCTGACCCAAGCCTCTCATTTTGGGAAACTCTGAGTAATTTAACTTGGTGCAAAGTAAAATTTATTTTTGCTTCCCTGCTTCCCTCCCCACCCCCATTAAATTAGTTTCTGAAAAACAAGTGAAACATTATCTTGATTTGAAAGCCCTTCCCTTTACCAAGAATAGCAAATAGTGTTTTCCCATAAGAACAGTGACAGGGTTTAGTCACTGCCCAGGTACTTGGCACTAAGAAATTCCTCTTTGCTAAAACGGAGGTAATTTAGTGTTTGGTTTTTGTTGCTTAATCGTTCAGAGGAAGAGCACCTGGTAACTTTCTGCTCTTTGGCAGGTTTAAGTGAGATCCCAACGGGCTGAAGAAGCAGGACAAGCTGTCAGTGTAGAAGGGAAGTGAGGGAGTGCAGTTGTGTGTCTGCCTTAGTGAAGTTTATCAGTTTACTGACCCCATAGCCTATGACTTTACGAGTCAGGTGCCAAGGTTCATCTCAATCCATAATTTGTATGGTTTGATGATTAAGCAGGTAGTGAGGGAACCCACAAAAAACAAGAAACCATTTGCACAAAGCACCAACTGGCAGAGAGGTCACTGCAGTTGTATTATAATTGGGTGGTTGTGCTGATGAATGATATATTTGTCCAGTGGTCTTACAAATAATAGGTCAAAACATTTCTGTGGGATGTAGACTGCAGATGTAAACCGGTGCAGATAGCTCTAACAGTTGTTCAGGGAAAAACATTCAACAGAGATGATCTTGCTATTGTTTGTACTTGTGTGGTGGGAGCATTTAGGGATCCCAGCTGAACCCAGAGCCCCAGTGTACTTGGCTCTGGATTGAAGTTTAATTTTCTCCTGCCCTGCCCAAACAAGGCTGGAGGAATCCACTCTACAGACAGCAAACTGATATTCAGAGAATTTCCAGCAATGGGGATTGCCCCCTCTTAAATTGCAATTATGGGAGCAGAGTCATATTCTGTCAGTGTCCTTCTGACTCTTTTTCCTGTGCTTTTCCCTGAGCTACATGGAAAATGGGTAGGAACAGTGAATAGCCGTGTCTCAAATATTCAGGGAAGCTCTTTAGGTTCAGGCACATACTTTGGTTTTGTAGGAAGATGCTAAAGTCTGTGAGAGAGCTTTGATGTGGTGCAGTTTTAAGGTTTAACATGCTGTGGAAATTAAATTTGCCAACTGGCACCCTGGAAATTATTTTTGTTCTAGAGACAAACATGGAAATAAAAATCAAGAATAATTTCTTCCTGCAACCCAGAGAATAATAAAAGAGATGGTACAGTTTAAGAGAAATAAAAGAGAACCAAACACGTAATTATCCATGTTTTAGATTCAGTTCCAAGAGGTTTTATGTGTCATGCAGCTAACTAGCTGTCAAGATGCTTACACAGCGTTTTAGTTGTGTCTTTTTCCTTGAATACTGTGTTCATTGAAGTCAGCAGGGGTGTAGGGACAGTGTGAGTGTTCCTTATGTAGTCATCTTCTCTTTGGGTTTTCCATTTCAAACCCTCCCAGTAAGGGTTACTCATAATTCCTCATTTAATCTGGATATCAGTGAGTATCACAACTCCTAAAGGATTATTGGCCACCTCAGCCTATTTTTAGAAATCCTGATTTCCTTTGGGTTGTAGCTAAGCCAAACTATCATTGTCCAGAGAATAAACAGAACATGTTAACAACTCTCCAGCTCCTCAAACATAAATCATTAATCCATTGTGTAAGGAAAGTTCCTCTCAACCAAGGAGGTTGGATTGAAACCATGATACATAATCTTTGGTATGTGGAAACTGATAAGTCATAATAGTATATCAATAAAGATAACAACACTTTCTGTGGATATACAAAAGAGAATTACACATGCAGTTCATTGCCCTCTCTGGATCCAGGGCAGATACAGTGGTAACCAACCACTTCTGTAGGGCATGGATACAGCTAAACTTGGCTTTGAGGGATACTGGGACTAGTTGGTAACTTTGGGACACACATAAATAAGCAAATACATACTCTTGGTGTTTTCCCAGCCAGCATCCATCTACTTTGTTGCTTGTTCACATGTTCCTCTCTGTGGTGCATTTGTAGTGCTGAGCACAGAGAGGTACCATCCTCTGTAGAAAACATTGAAAGGTACACTTGGCTAATTTAGTGCCATGTTGCATTTCAGTTACAAAGACATCAGTGAGGTTTTTTTCCCCAGGAATCCTTAGGTCCTCTCTTTTGGTGCAGTGTACAGGTATAGATTTGCATTTTTTTTAGAATTCACCTAAGTTCATGCAGGGTATGTTGCATTTTTTATTGTGCTTGATAGTAAGCCCTGAACACTGCCCTCATTGTTGGGTGAGTTGCTCGTGTTTTCTGGTCAGCTGGGTGATGCAGCAGTCAAACATGTCAGTTGACAGCCTTTGGGGGAATGTCCTGAGTTGACACAATACAGAAAGAGCAGACCCAAGTCTGCAGGAAAGTATAAAACATGACTCAAACTGAGCTTTGTGTGCCTCTGACCTGGATCTTCTGGAAAGGCTTGCCTGTACCTTGTCTTTCCCACCGATGCTTTTCATCTGTGCCCCTGTGTCCCCTAACAAGAACTGCTGCTTGGTCAGGGAGTTTACACATCTCTTAGCAGGGACAGTGCAAATGTGTTAATTGTACGATTGTTTAGGTTGGAAGGGACCTTTGAACATCATCTGGTGCTGTCTCCACCCATGCCCCACTCGTCCTCACGCAGTGCAGGGTTTACTTTGAGGTGGTAGGAGGTTGCTGAGAGCCTGTGAAGCCCCAAACCAGACACATGAACTCAGCAGTGCTGAGCTGAGGGGAGCAGCCCCTCCCCATCCTGCCCACATACACACCCCTGACTCACAGTCAACACTCACATTACCTTTTATTTTAAAATCCATTTTCAACCCAGACTCCATTTCCAATTGAAACTCCAGTTTTCAATCCCATGAATTAGGAAACTGGAACAATGTTGTCATTTGGGATTTGCAAACATTTTGCATTGAATACTAAAACAAGCGATGTTGGCCTTCGTTCAAAAACTTTAATTTTGGATTAATATTTCCCCGGTTCTCATAGGGATTGTTCTATCTGTGTCTTCAGGAAACAGATACTTCCATGCACAAGCAGCCCTATTAATTGCAAAGGGATTGACTGTCAAATAAAGGCATACTTGACCTGGATGATGATATGCTCTCTGGTCTTTACTGTGACCAGGTTATGAATTTCTTGTTCATTAGTATTGAATATTTTTTTATGCAATAGCCATGGGTGAGTATCAGTTTTTGTAACAAATGGTGAATGTTCAGAGTTACTCTTCTTTAAAATTTAAAACTGCAAAATAATAAGTTAAGAGCAACTGTTCTCAAAAGTGTGG